ATGGCATGTCTCGGAGGAGGCTTCAGTGCGTCAAAGATAACTATGCTCCCCACAGTGCGTACCAAGTACACCGGCAACAAGTCTCTTCCCTTTATTCTTCTTTGGAAATTATCATCAACTGTTGTAGGTGGTATCCTCTGACCCAGATGTGACTTAACCAATCGAAATCCTACGGGCTTCAGGGTAACCATGGCAGAGTTTGTGATGGTGGCGATAGTACTGACTCGGTTCCCAAGATGAAAAATGATTGGAACACAAGATGGGGGTACCTATGTTGATCTATGGTACTGGCAAACATGTATGATTTCTTTCTACATTTCACTTTTCATGCAAGGTGAAACTGCACAACCCACTCGCTTGAGCAGCTCAACAACTAAACATCCCTCCTTAGTAGCTTGTCTCTCAAATACTGTATAGACTCTGGTGATAATAGTGGGCTTCTACCACTTCTTACTATGATCCCATGGTGAAGGCAGAGCAGTAGCAATCCTATGGAGGCTCTCATCTCCAGTAGTGTCTGGAAAGGGATGAAACCTACACCCTTAGAGGAGAGGAGAAGTCTCAGGTAATCTGAGTTCCTCTTGCTGAGGAATCTCATCAACATATACTAATTCTATTGTCTGGGCCCTAGTGGCCCTCTGAATATTGCAATTTTAATTTATTTTCTATGACTTGGTCAATGTTGCAGTCCGTGAACTAGAACCAATCTCAAATACTAATGGCAATGCAACAAATGTATCAGCGGAATCTTCTTCAATCAAAACTTCTTTTCCCTTAGCGGATGATGTGGTAGGCATGGTAACGTTGAATCTAGTGGTGGTAAGTGTAACGACTCTCCTTGACATGGGAGTGACTGTTATGGTAGACACGAAAACAACAAACTTAACGGGTGTCGGGGCGGTAATGATCTTCGCCTTCTTGTAAGAAGGGAAGTCTTGGCAGTAGTTCAAAATGAATTCAGTGGATGGTTCCTGGACATCCGGGGTGGTGACCCTCATGACGACAAACGGGGCTTTGTTGAGCACAACCTTAAACTACCAAATCTGGATCCAAACTTGATCAATGGAGTAATGTTGTGGGTGTCATGACTGGTAGGCAGATTACAAGAAAAGGTGAGAGTTGGGAATTCCATCGTCGCAGCTTTGAAAAAAATTCTGAGGGTTAGTATTGACCAATACCTCGTAATTCTAGTGTAAGCACAAAAATTTACGAAGGTCGTTCTGCGAACTGGGCACATCCTTCCTTATTTTCAATTTTAAATTTATTATTTATTTGTGATTATAATGTTAAAGAGTTTTGATTAAAATTAAAAGAGGGTGAAGAGACGTAATGACTTGGCTCGATTTGCAAAATAGCAAACCAAACTCGAAAGATACAAGGAAAAAGGTGAAGTTTAAGACCCCGTACAAGAACAACTTCACAACGCACATCGCCCAGGTGAAACTAGTTCACCAACACACCAACTCGGGGTCTGACCCCACATAAAAAGAAAAATTCTTAAAGGACTCTTGAACCTCTTTGTTTAAAGATGGTTAAACAGACAGTCCTGGAATCCAAAAGAGTTGACTGTACTTGCCCAAGAAAGAAATGAACAAAGCATGCCAATGGATAAAGCGTAACCTGATCCATGAGGGACATGGACACATTATCAATGTATGAAGACAAGGCTTTTTTATCATAATTGAGAGAAGAACTAGATCCCCAGCAGAGTCGCCATAAATTGTTGGTCGCCAAATTGGGAAAGCTCAAGAAGGCTCTGTGAACAATTTAGAGGGCTCTCCCCAAGCAAATGGCAACACTCTCCTCTTGGTCATGAAGGGGTGGTTTAAATGGTCATGGCCATGGTGGCCAGCAGAGCAATCTAAGAGGTGGAAAATGGTGCTTAGGTGGAGGGTTGAACGGCGCCAATGACCAATGGGGATGAGCCACATTGAATGGGTAAATTTGAAGCTTTGTCCATGGGGGAGCCTTCTCAATTTTGGGTTTTTCAGGCACTAGGCCTACCGACCAGGCTAAGGGAGGTGGCTAGCTGGCACAGGGAACCAAGGGGAAGGTTTAATGGTGACTAGGATTGGGTTTAATCAAAATAGCTCAAGCATGTGTCACTTGGCCAAAAATGGGAAAGGATCCCTTAAATTATGGGACCTTTGGTCCATAGTACTTCTAGGGTGGACTAGGAGGATCTAGGCTAGTCCTTAGGGTCTAAATGCCAGTTGCGGTGGTCCAAGATGGGCTGAACCAAGTGACTCCAAGTGGGTTTAGGGCTTGGGTTCAAAACTTGGAGTTTGACATGAACTTGGGTTTTACCTTAACTAGAGCTTGGATCTAGTCCAATTGAATGGTCAATTTGATTTAGGGAATTGTCACAAGTCATTTGGGTATCAATTGAGTGAAAAATTGGGGAACTATAAGGTTTAATTTGAAGGAATTTAGACTTTGGGGAAAATTTGGGGATTTTGGCTTGAGTTAAATTTGGGCTAGGCTTGAGGCTAGGCCAAGGCCAATTTAAGGTTCAAATTAGTCTAGAGGAATGTCAAGAAGATTTTAGGAAGTGAGTTTGGGGAAACTGGATAGGTTAGGACATTCAATTTGGTGGAATTTTGGCTCATCGTCAAATTGGGGGTTCAAATTGGACTTGAAATTTGAGTTTGAAATTGGGTTCAATTACTCTTGTTTTGGTTCAAATTGTCTTAGACATGATGAAATTGAGTTTAGATCTGAAATTGGGGAAATTTGAAGTCAGTTTGGTGAAATTTGGGGGTGATTTGAAGACTTCAGACATTTAGGAGAAAATTTTGGATTTTGGTAAAAATGGTGAATTTGGTCAAATTAGACCCAATGAATAGTCAAGAATGATTTTGGAAGTGTTTGGAATGATTTGGGAGGTTTTTTTTGGAATTTTTAGGCCTTGAGCGGCATTTTGGAATTTTGGCAAATTTTAGGGCATTTTGGGAGGTTTGAAAATTTTGAGGTGTTTTGGGTAATTTTGATGGATTGAAATGGTTTGGGGTGATTTTAGGTGAAATTGGGTAATTTGGGTATTTTTTTAAAATTTAGGGCTCCGGGTGCAATTTGGTAATTTTGGGAAAGTTTGGGGCTAAAAGGCCAAAATAGGGTATTTGGATAGGATGAGATCAACTGAAGATGCCAATCATAAAATTACCCTTATAGTACCATGAGACCAAAGAAATCTCATTTTAGATTCTCCATATATTGGTCTTAGCCCGACCTTAGCCCAGGGCTAAGGGTTTGGGGGGATCATCCGCATGAGTTTCCAAAAGAGTAGGGGAAAAAGTTAAACATGTGCAGGTTAGGGTTTAGGCCAAAAGTAGAAGTGTGTGTGTGTGGAAGACCAAGACCAGCTCACTCAGGGTTAACCCCCCCCAAACAGTCCAATGGAGACTTTTCTTGAGCTCCCCTGTACTGGCTCCACCTACTAAATGTCAGAGGTTATGACCAACATGTGGAACTTCAATAGAGCAAAGAGGCATTTGGAATTTCTAATGGTGAGAGTTCCCTTATTAGTTCTTTAGAAATAGTCAATAGAAAAATCCTATAGCTAGATCATAGGCTTCTAAGGAAGAAAGACTAGACCTCAATAAAAAGTGAGGTCAACAATATTGTGGTGTTATTACTATATTAGTATGGTGTTATTGTATGTGGGATTTGGATGTATAGTGGTGTTATTCATGTCATCATATTATGATGTTACTGTGGTGTTGTTAGTTAATGGTATGGTGTTATTGTCACATAAATTTGGTTGTACAACAATGTTATTCGTGTCATCGTATTGTGGTGTTATTACGACGTTATATTGTGGTATTATTAGTGTAATTATATGGTGTTATTGTCATACATATGTGGTCGTACAACAATGTTATTCATGTCGTCGTATTGTGGTGTTATTAGTGCAATGGTCTAGTGTTATTGTCACACAAATGTGGTGTTATTTGTGTAATCGTATTGCTGTGTTATTTTGGTGTTATTAGTATAACGATATTGTATTATTATCATACACATGTGGTTGCACAGTGGTGTTATTCATGTTGTCGTAATGTGATATTATTGTGATTGTATTGTATTGTTGTTAGTGCAATTGTATGGTGTTATTGTGTTATAAATGATGTTATTCGTGTCGTCATATTGTGGTGTTATTGCGATATTATTATGGTTGTATTATAGTGATATTAATATAAATGTATAGTGTTATTGTTATAAAAATGTGGTTGTAAATTGGTGTTTTTAGTGTAGTCTATTAAGGTGCAATTATGATACAAAAGTGGTTGTATTGTGGTGTTATTAGTGTAATAGTATGATGTTATTGTCATACAAATGTGGTTTTACAATGTTGTTATTCGTGTCGTCCTATTGTGATATTTTTGTAGTCATATTGTGGACTTATTAGTGTATTGGTATAATGTTATTGTCATACATAATACTGTGGTGATAAGATGAAAAAGTTTCTCTTCCAATACTAAATCATCAAAATCAATGCTTATATCAGTTATATAAACTTTTGAATGCAATAACAACCACAACCAAAATTACGTAAATGATCTCTGTCGACTCTTACGCCTTTTCATTATGTTCTTTCATTCATCTATATTACTTGAAAACACAAAGAACATGAGTTCACACCCTAAAGTCTAAATTCTTACGCAAGACTTCTCGAAATAACCTACACATCTCAAAATTACAAGTGCAAATGATTTCAAACAATACGAATGCATCTCGCCTGACGACCGACACTGCGAAGGATTTCAAACAAACAAATTCCTAGCTACGAAAGTTGCTCTGCAGAATCCCACCCGATGACGATAGAAAAAATGGTAATTGATTCAACCTTCAAGATTTTGTTTTCGAAGAAATGGGTTGCATTGATTAGGAATGTAAGGTTTTGTTTTCAAAGCAGTGGGCTGGTTGGTGCTGATTCCGGCCTGATCATGATCATTTATTAAAATAAAGAAGTTTTCATTTGATGTGATTTTTTATCAGCCCCAAACATTCAAACCTCGTACGTCCCTCCCCCTCTGGGTTTCATCCCAAACCATCTCCTTCGTGGCCAAACCCTCGCTATAGGGAAAAATTATTCCATACGGATCCGTAAATCACCTGATCCCTAAATCACCTGATCGAGAAAGGATCGAGAAAGGTAAATTCACTTCTTCTCTTTCACCGATTCACAGGATTTAGTAAAGCCGAGATTTTAGTACAAAATCCATGAAATCCGGATTTACAAAAGCCGCTTAATTCCTGCTCTAAATCCGTTACCAGACCGGGTGATTCATTTACAGCCTGGTCCAAATAAAACATAGGTTCGCTCCCACGGTGGCGATCGTCGATCAATTGATCGCTCGACGGGAGATTTCTCCTCCAAGCAAGGCCACACCTTGAATATAGGCGTCGTACGAGAGGAGTTGGTCTCTCACATCTTTAGCTGAAACTGGGATAGTTATTGGTTCAGGGGTTCGGTCTTTGGGAGATGGGGAACATTTTTGTGAAGAAACCCAAAATTACTGAGGTCGATCGCGCTATTCTCACCCTGAAAACTACTCGCCGAAAGCTGGCACATTACCAGCAAAAGGTTCTTTGCCGTTCTTGCACTCCATCTCTCTCTTACATTTCATGTTTGCCTTGTTGTCATAGATGCTTTTGTTGTTTTAATTGATATAAATCACCGATATATTGATTTTATTTTATTATCATAAAAATATGAATCATAAATCTCAATTTTAAATATTAATATAAAATAAAGTTTTGAAATATTATTCTATTTAAGCATTCACTTAAAATTTAAGTACATCATTAGGATCAAGATTCATATGGCCTCATTCTCTCTTTTATCATCTTAAAAAAAATCATCATATTTATCATATTTTGATTTTATCTCATTGTCACTTCTATATCTTATTCAATTATTATAGTTTTTTTCTTACTTTCTATATCAATCTATATTAGATTCAATATAATTTAAAATAAAAGGACAAATTAACAACACACTAAAATGATAATACTTATATATACTTATATTATGTTTTGATCTTTTGAAGATATTGTATATGATATATTAAAAATTAAATATACATAATGACATCTAATTTACATTAATAATATAATATTATAGGGATAATGACACACATTGCACCCGAAATATTGCTATTTACAAAATCTGGTACTCGGATGATATATTTGAACTATCGAACCGATGTAGTTATGTGTGCCACAATCAGATCATTGGAAATTTGATAAAAATGAAACACATGAGTTGGGGTTTTATCATGAATTTGGATATTTGGGGGAGAATTTGAAAAATGGGTGAAAGACGGTGCTAGATTTGTAAATAGCAATACTTTTGGTGCTATGTATGTAATTGCACCCATATTATATACATAATCTGATTAAAGCACTACCTGAAATGCCTCAAATTCCTCGTGTCATTAAAGCATCGAGTCATTATAGCCTGACGGAACACTAACTAGAAAAAAAACCGTCTAAGTCTCTGTTGACCATGAGATTTAAGTTTTTAGATGATTTTTGTGCGTATTAGTTTGTGGCATGCCTCAAGATGTACTTCTCAAATGCTTTTCCAAACAAGGTTTATAAGTTTGCATAACAATAGCTTGATATGTTTTCCAGAATCATATTTTCTTTACTTTTGTTTAAATTAACTCAATTTAGCCATAAGCCTCAGATTGGTTTCTTATTTAGCATTCTTGGGTTGGACATTTGGACATGGTGGTTGGAGGGTAGGGCGTGGGAGTGGTGTGGAATTGAGGCATTTCATGGCTTCTAACATTTTTTGTTTTGGTATTCAAACTTTTCAGAGAACCAAAACATAACTTCCAAAAGTTTATTTTTTTTTAAAACTAGGAGCTTATGCTGTGACATGTATGTACCAAGTGCAGCAAAGTAGATCCTGTCCCACACAATTAAGCAAGGGATAATTAATGAATCTTTAAACATTTTCTGAATCATAGCTTGGTGGTTAACCAAATTGCAAATTTTGAGTATTGCGCTATGGAAGGCTGAATGAATAAAAGAGGAAGGAGATCAGTTCTTCTTACTCTAATTTTTTTTTGATTCATTTTCTGGATCTCATTTTCCTTCTTCCTTTGAGTATTTTTTAGTCCACTTCTCTCTATTCTGTGTTTTTTCCTGAATATCTTCTTATTTCTTTTTCATGTCTCATTGATTCTTTCATTAGATTAAAATCTCCATTCACTTAAAATTTTTATACTATTTCCTCTGAAAACTCTTTTGACATGTAGATACCTTTGATAACATTATAGTTTTTATTTTTTGTTTTGTTTGTATGGAAACTGCTATAATCTTTGAAGGCGCCTTTATGTTTTGTTTGCTACTGTTCATACGATTAAGAATTTATATGATATATTCTTTTGGAGAAATCAGCAGTTTTATTTGCATTTTGTTAAGTTAATATGCAAAAAAAAAGAAATTAGGTATACATGCAAATGTGGGAAACAAAATTATTTGTGTTGCACACTCACTTGTCTCATCTGGTAATATTGATTGTTTATTGACGCCGTACTTGTTTACTACCATCCTGTTGGAGTTCATTGTATGATCTTAGGTTAAATTTTATCGATTTGTTTCTACCATCCTGTTGGAGTTCATTGTATGATCTTAGGTTAAATTTTATTGATTTGTTTTGGTTTTTTTAATTGATTGTAAGCCTTGCTTGGGACTTTTGATCTTTCAAGCATTTTTATTTAATAATTCTCTTAAATCTTTGTTAATGTTGTTGACATTTCTCTAGTAGTCCAGTTTTAAAATTTGGAATGTGTCATCAGTCTTCTGTTTTCTGCTTGATTTTGCCCTTGAAGAAAACCGTTATCCAACAAATAGATCGGAAATATTTGTGGTTGTGAAGATTGTATTTTCACCTACTATTGCTTCAAGATTTTCTTGATTAATGTTTTTGCAGCTTGATGATGTTATTGAAGCTGAGAAGGAAGCTGCAAGGGAACTAGTTCGGCAAAAGAGGAAGGATAGGGCCTTGCTTGCTTTGAAGAAGAAGAAGGCCCAAGAAGAACTATTGAAGCAAGTTGATGGCTGGCTCATTAATGTTGAGCAACAGGTATAAAATAAAATTTTGAGCTGCACTATTGTTTTATTTGTGATTATATAAATAAATAAATAAATATATATATATATATATAAACAAAGTTTATAAAAATGTCAATTTAGTTTAAGACTCTTTTAATGGGGGCTAAAATAGTCCTCCATGGGGTCTATTGCAGCCCATATTAGAACTCTGCAGGGACTAATTTGACACTTTATATGTAATGTATATATGAATAGTTTTTATGAACTGTTTTCATTTAAAATACTAATTAATTATGATTTTGCAGCCCATATTAGAACTCTATAGGGACTAATTTGACACTTTATATAATAGTTTTTATGAACTGTTTTCATTTAAAATACTAATTAATTATGATTTTCTTATTTGTTATGTATTGATTGTTTATTTATAGTTGGCAGACATAGAACTTGCTAGCAAGCAGAAGGCTGTGTTTGAAAGTTTAAAGGCAGGGAATAATGCTTTGAAAGCTATTCAAAGTGAAATAAACTTGGATGATGTCCAGAAATTGATGGATGATACTGCTGAGGCAAAGGCATATCAAGATGTGAGTTTGCTTTTATATCTTTCTTTTCCTCTGCAATATTATATTTTCAGCTTTGATGCTCTTTTGTATAAGAGATAAATTAAATATAGTCCATTTTATGAATAGGCCCGCATGATGTTGTTTGTTGGGGTAAGCATGTTTTGTATAAAAAATCAACCGTAAATAGAATAGCTTCACCCAAAGCATTCAAATTAGTTATATAAGTCTTCATGAATCTTATATAGTTTATTTGCTGTTTGTCAATGGCTAACCACTTTTATCTTAGAAGGAAAGGCATGCCACTAAAAGGGTGAATTATGGTTAAAAGTATTTTTTTTTAGATAAAGCGCTTCATTTCTAGCATGTTCTTATTGAATTTCCTTGGGTCTAATACGAAAACTTGTATTAATATTTATTGAGGTTAAATACAGCGTCCAGAATCATTTTGTAATGCGAAAACTTTCAATTGAATTGCAGAATCACACTTTTTGTCGTGCTTTTAAGACTAGCTCTTTCAGAAGATACCCATTTTACGACTCCCCTCAACATGATCTTCCATTCAAAATAATTTTTATGGTTTTTAACTTTTGAGTTTCTAATAATCCTCTTTTGTGCTATATCCCATTTTCTGTCGACAATTAGACTAATACTTTTGTTGGACTTTGGCTGAGAATAGATAGTTAGAATTCAATTTCATTTTTCTTATTTACTCCCTGCGTTTACTGTTTGTCACTGTTTGTTCTAGTTATCAGCAATATATAGGGTTCTTTCTGGCACACTATGTTCCAGGAAAAATAGCTTCACATGCAAATTAGTTTTCTAATAGCTTTAGGTTTTATTTTTATTTTAGAAGTGGAAAGCCTTGCTGTTTTTTTTTTTGTGGGAAATAATGGCTTCTTAATTTCCAAGTTACATTTATGCCTTTCAACTTATTATTCCTTATTTTTTAAAAAATTTCAGTCATTTTTTCATCTTATGTTTTATTTGTTCGTGAATTTATTTTTGCTTTAAACGCCACTGTCTTTATTAAGCATTTGATTTTCCCCTCAAAATACAATTTCAGATGTCACTTGCAGTATTGTTTGTAGGAATTTATATCTTAACTATTAGCTTTCATTATAATTTTCTAGTACTTAAGTACATATCAATAAAATTTATTGGTTGTGTGGTTTATATATAAAAATTGTAGAATATGTATCCTTTAGGAGGTTCATATGTAGTTGCTGTTTGGGTTCAATTTCTATTTTTTTTATTTTTAATTGGTTTTTTTTTTCTTATGTTTTGAGTTAAAATAAAATTATCTGCATTTATCTTGTATGTATATTTTCTTTAAGAAAAATTTCTTCCCCTAAGTTTATTGTGTCCTCCCTTTATATTGTCGACTCCACCACCGACCCATGTAGATTTGAAGGAGCCTCTATGTCAGCTGGAACCTCAATTAACTTACCAAACACCCATGCCTTACAGATCCAACTGCTTTAAGATTTTTAAAAACGCATAAAATCTGCTTGTCAACTCAAACCTAATCTCTAATTGGAGGAAATTCCTCATCAGTTTGCCCTTCTTGAAACAATTCAGTTTCGATGAATAGTTCAGTTGATATTTGTCGACAATTGTAGGCATAATTATTTCACTTACTATATATAAATTTATGAATCATCACCCATAAACATGTCTTCCCATTTTCTAAGATATTTTTGGTGTTTTTCCATTTGTAATGGACATAATTTTAAAATAACTTCTGGAATAAAATAAGCATAAAAATTTGAGAGTTATATAAGTGATATGTTGGATGTGAATCCTGGAGGATGTCTAAGTGGAGAATTATCCAAGGCATTTTTTGAAAATTTATGATATTAATTTAGATCAAATGCAGTAAAAGCAAGCCTATAATTTAATAGGATTTTTACCTTACACAACCATCTTAACTTATTTTATGACTTTATACAGTATCATATTTCTAGCTATTTATTTCTCTAGGCTTTTTATTGGATACTTTACTGGATTTAAATAAACCATTATCTTCTCACTTTGATTGAATATTACGTATGTTTTGTTCACTTTGTAGCTGCTTTGTAATTTTTATACGTTAAAACCTTAAAGTTTTTTCAAATATTTTCTTGCAAATTATGCATATAACTAGTGGATGGTGTAATATGATGAGCATGCAATGATTATGTGTAAACATTAACGTGTTTGTTAATTGATGCACTAAATTAACATTTTGATAATAAGATGATGAGAATGTAAAATTTATATTTATTAGATTTCATTTAATTATTTTTTGATTACTAACCTATATAGACAGTTTATTTAAAAAATATCTCAAACAATTAGAAGATTAGCCTTGATGAATTATATATTTTTATTTTAACCATAAATATGGATATTTGAATTTCATAATTTACGGAAGGTTGTTTTCATAAATATGTTCGTTGATATGCCAACAAAAATTTAGTTCTCCACGAGACATTACCCTTGCAATGCAAGTGATGACAAACAACTACAACAACAAAACTTTTATCCCACTAAGTGGGTCGGCTAAATGCGTGGAGTCGGCTAAATGAATTCTTTTTCTCCATTGCGTTCTATTTAGTGTCATATTTTCATTTAATTCTAATAAATTAAGATCATTTTTTATACAATATGCCCAAATCTTCCTAGGTTTACCCCTCCCTTTCTTAAACATAAGTCGAATCTAAAACGTCTACTCTTTTAATCGGATCATCAGATGGTCGACGTTTAATGTGACCCAATCATCTAAGACCTCTCTTTCTAATTTTGTCCGTCATTGGAGCTACACCAACCCTATCACGGATAAATTCATTCCGCACTTTGTCTCTAAGTGTAAAGCCACTCATCCACCTAATTATTCTCATTTTGGCAACACTTAACTTAGTTTTATTCTTCTCTTTTAAAGGCCAACATTCAACGCCATTGAGCATTGCAGGTCTCACCACCATCCTATAAAAATTTCCTTTCAGTCTAAGCGGTACTTTTCTATTACACGATAGGCCCGAAACATTCCTCCACTTCAACCAACCAACTTGAATTCTACTAATAACATCCCATCAATATCACCATCACTTTGAACAATAAACTCGAGATATCTAAAGCGTTCACACCTTTTAATAATTTGATAACCCATAGTTACAATTTCGTCACTGGAGCTACTAATACTAAAACATGTATTCAGTTCTAGTACTACTCAAACGAAGGCCTTTAGACTCCAAGGTAGACCTCCATAAATCATGTTTTTCTTGAGTTTTTTCTCTCATCTTATCCACGAGAAGGATATCATTAACAAAAAGTATACACCACGGTACATCCTCCTGTAAGTTTCTAGTAAGACCATCCATAACTAAAGTAAAAAGATACGGGTTAAGAGCCGATCCCTGATTTAAACCAACAAAAATAGGAAAATATTTTTTCAATCCTCTTTCTGTTTGAACACAAGTAACAACTCTTGTATACATATCTTTAATGACTTGAATATAACTCATATCACCCTTCTTCTCAAGAATTCTTCAAAGGATATCTCTTGGAACCTTATCGTAAGCTTTTTCTAAATCAATAAAAATCATATGTAGATCATCCTTATTATCTCTGAACTTCTACATCAATCCTCTCAATAAATATATTTCTTCCATGGTAGACCCACCCGACATAAATCCAAATTGATTATGAGATATCTTTGTAATGCGACTTAACCTATGTTCAATTATCTTCCCATAATTTTAAAGTATGACACATCAACTTAATTCTTGTGCATCCCCTTTAATTATAAAAAATGGGGACCAAAATACTCTTCCTTCACTCCTCAGGCATCATTTTAGTTTTTAAAATAATATTAAAGAGTTTAGTAAGCCAAGAAACTCCCAAATCTCCTAAATATTTTCATGCTTCAATTGGGATATCATCAGGTTTTACAGACTTTGCACCCTTTGTTTTCTTTGAGGCCTCCTCAATTTCCTTCTTACTAATGCAACGGTAAAAATGAAATATTTTGCTATTATTAACTATATTAAGATCACTAAGGTTGATCGTATTTTCCGAAACTTCATTAAAAAGTTTATCAAAATAACTCACTGATATATTTTTAATATCTTTTTCTAAGAAAAACATTTTTTGATTTTCATCTTTAATGTATTTTACTTGAGTTAAATCTTTTTTTTTCTTTTCTCTTTGTTTGACTAGTTTATACATATATTTTTCACCCTCCTTAGTATCTAATATATTATAAAAATCACTAAAAGCAGATTTTTAGCATTACAGATTGTCTCTTATACTCCCTACGGGCCGTTTGATAATTTTTACAATTTTCTGAGCTTTTACATTTAAACTAATTTTTATAGCTTAACTTCTTTTATTTTATCTTTTCTTACTTATTATTATTCCACCACCAACTATTTTTATTATAGAACTTTTTCTTTTGATTCTCCAAGTACAACTTTTGCCTTATAATAAATTTTAAGTTGTATTATAAAGAATCTTGCTTGAATTGAAGTGATTGAAATTTGAGTACAACAACAACAACAACAAAGCCTTAATCCCATTACGTGTAGTCGGCTACATGAATCCTTTTTCTCCATTGCGTCCTATTTAGTGTCATATTTTCATTTAGTTCTAGTAAATTAAGATCATTTTTAATACAAGAAACCCAAGTCTTCTTAGATCTACCTCTGTCTTTCTTAACACAAGTCAAATCTAAAACATCTACTCTCCTAATCGGATCACCAAATAGTCGACCTTTAATGTGACCAAACCATCTAAAGACGACTTTCTCTAATTTTGTCCGTCACTGGAGCTACACCAACCCTATCACGGATATATTCATTTTGCATTTTGTCTCTAAGTGTAAAGCCACGCATCCACCTAATCATTCTCATCTCGGCAACACTTAACTTATTATTATGCTTCTCTTTTGAAGGCCAACATTCAGCGCCGGATAAAATAAATTTGAGTAAATAAAATAAATAAAAATATAAATAAATTTATATCACAGTGTACAATGCACTTGT